ATATGGCTTATCAGAAAGAGCCACGTATTGCCTCTTTTCGTTTGAGATTATTACTGCTTTCTGCTTTGGAAATTGAAAGTTTTGGGGGGAAACGGGGAATAACGGATGCACAGCGTATGGCAACACCGTCGTGATGCGCCCGAACCCGCTATGTCTAAATGCCTAACGCGAATTATTAACTCTTTATTTTCTCGCTTCTGGCGCGTAATTACCTACCATTCATTACATAATCATTATCTTCGACACAACGTCAATTGATCGATAGCAAGATATACGAGCATGTAATTCGAATGAATGGCGAGAAAATTAATGAGTGATGAATAACCGGCACCTCAGAAGCTGGTTCCAAGGATAACAACTTTCCCTTCCCCTTCGAGAGTTGCCAGACGCCGCCGGGACAACCACGGGATAGCCTTATCTTGTCCACATTTTCTGGAATGTGGGGAATACCGATAAAAAGAGACGGAGAAGGAGAAGGAGAGGAAATGGATGATAACTCTAATAAAATGATGCTTCTTGTACAGTAAGTGTTTGCGGACGAGGATCTCCAATTTGAATGACTGCACAACATTTTTTTGTGTGTTTTTTTCATCCTCCATTTTCTATTTCGATCCCCCCCCCCCCCCCGTTGAAAATGCAAATCGTCTTTACTTTTTAGCGAAGGAGGGGCATGGCTTCGCAAGCATTATTTTTTTTCCCGAATTGTTTATTGCTCACCTCTTGTCCCTTATCCCGAAAAAGGCTTGGAAGAAGACATGAATCGCGCGCAACCCAGAAAAAGAATTTTTTAAAAGGGGAATAATGGAGACAACTAATTTACCGATTAAAAAGCATGGTAAAAAATATATGACCCACGGAAGAAGAAGAGAGAAGAAAAAGAAAAGGAAAATATGACCCACGGAAGAAGAAGAGAAAGAAAGAAGAAAAAGAAATATGACTCTCACAGAAGAAGAAGAAATGATAAGCAAAAGAAAGAAAGAAAGAAAACAAAAGAAAATAAAGCACGAACTTTACCCATATCTCATGTTTTCCCCTCCTCAGCCATAATTACATCAGTAAACAATGGCTCTCACTAGCTTAGCGCATCCTCCGCCGCCTCCTCCCTCCTCCCTCCCTCCCTCCCCACGTCCCGCAACCTCTTCCTCGTAGAAAGTGAATTCGTGCATTTCCTTGCGTCAGCGCGGATTGCCTTCCCTGACCGGAAATAAAGCCAAGTACCCGTTTACGCTCCATAAAAGGCTTTTGTGCCGAAGCGAATTACTTGTAGAGAGAGACTTTTTTTTCTCTGGGATGGGCTCAGGAATGCGGGAATGAGGGAGGTTGCGTACACGGAAGAGCACATATACGCACATACGTACATGGACTCTCACATAGACATACACATTTCTAAATATACTGTATACACACACGGACAAACACACGCGCATGCATGTACGGACGCACGCACGCACGCACACAGGTACGCATGCTCGTGTTGCCCACCAATTACTTACTTGTTACGAATAACATCCTGTTTCTTAAACGCTTAAAAGTTGCGTCCAACAAACATGATGTAAGTCTTCTCCTCTCTCTCTCTCTTCCCTCTTTATCCCCCTCTTTCTTTTCGCTTATTTTCACGATCTCTCTCTCTATTCACTTTCATCCTCTCTTTCTGTCTTCCCTCTTTCTCATCCTCTATTCTCTTCTCACTTGTATCCCCTCTTGCTCTCTTCCCTTTTTCTTATTCTCTCCTTTCTTCTCGTCTCTCGATCTTCCTTCTTTCTTATCCTCTCACTGTTTCCTCTTTTTTTTCCATTCTCTATTCTCTCTCTCTCTCTCTCATATTTCCTCTTTATTACATAATTAGTCAGTTTATTAAGTTATATTGTTACATTTTATTTCCGTAAACATGGCAACCAACACAAATATACCTACAACCTGCATAATAAAAAGTTTAGAACCATCGATGATAATGAAAGGGGGAGAGGGGAGGGGGGGAGTGGAAGGGGGTAGGGTTGAGCCTTAGAATGTGCACACTTAAACTCATGTATACAGACAAACAGACAGACAGACAAACAGACAGACATGCATACAGTACATACATACATGCAAACAATAATACACACACATACACACACACACACACACACACACACACACACACACACACACACACACACACACACATACACACACACGCAGATCCACACATACACACACACACACACATACACACACACGCAGATCCACACATCCACATCCACATCCACACACAGCATCAGGACAGAGATACACTCGACCATGTTTACCTGTTTGTGTACAAAATTAACATATCTGGTTTGTGTTTTCTGTCGACGGTCCCGCAGACCTGTTCTTGGTTATTCTGCCATAAGAGTCTGTGATGCAATAAGCCTCTAAAGATAGTGATGTTTTGATAGTGAGAAAGTGACGGTGCAAAAAAAAAAAAAAAAAAAAAAAGGAGAAAATAATGTACTTTGTCTTTAATAGGCTTAATTTATGCATTGGAAAGGGTACTCCATACTTGTGTCTTTTCCCTATTTATATTGATTCGTGTAAATGAGTTTTAGTCAGAATGTTACTAAACATCGCTAAAACCATCACTATTCACTATTTACCAGTTATCACCATTTCATCAAAATGCCATTACTACCCATCTTTTACAAATCATGCAAGATCCTACCATAGGGAGGGGTGGTATGTGTTATGAGGGGGGGGGGGCGTGTTATGAGGAAAGGCAGGGATGTATTATGAGGGAAGGAGGGTGTGTGATGTGTTATGAGTGCTTTGGGGAAACGGAGGGATTTAATGTGTTATGAGTTTCATGAGGAAAGGGAGGGTGTGTTGCGGAAGAAATGCTCATTTAGAGATCGACAAGGAAGAGGGAGAGAGGAAAGAAAGATAAAGAATAAGGAAGGGAAAGATGGGTGGAAGAAGAAAGCTTTTGAGCAAAGACGGGGAAACTGCGTGAGAGAGAAAGGGAAATAAAAAGAAAGAAAGGGAGAAAAAGAAATAGATTTAGATGGAAGAAAGGAGATAGTCAAAGAGAAAGAAATCAAGGAAGGGAGAAGGATAACGGAGGACATTGACAAATGAGTTAGTCAATTACTAAGCCTGATGAATAATGCACAGAAGAATAGATAAATAAATAGGTAGGTAGATAAATGAACAGACAGACAGACAGACAGACAGACAGAAAGACAGACACACACACACACATACACACACACACACACACACACACACACACACACACACACACACACACACACATACACATATAAACACACACACACACACACACACACACACACACACACACACACACACACACACACACACACACACACACACCCACACACACACACACACACACACACACAGACTGACAAACAGATAAACGAATAAAGAAAAAGAAAAAGAAAAAGAAGAAGAGACAGACGAGCGTTGGAGAGAAAATAGGAAAGGAAATTCAAAGTTATTGCAAAATACTGATGGAAGATTATCTGTCCAAATGACATTTACAAGCAAGGCTCATTCGACACACTTACACGGATTTGGAGGAAGAGGGATGCGGAAGGTAAGAGAGAAAAGGGGAGGAGGAGAGGAGGGGAGAGGGAGAAAAGGGGAGAGGGAGAGGAGGGGAGAGGGAGAGAAGGGGAGAAGGAGAGATGGGGAGAGGGAGAGAAGGGAGGAGGGAGAGAAAGGGGAGAGGGAGAGGAGGGGAGAGGGAGAGAAAGGGGAGAGGGAGAGGAGGGGAGAGGGACAGAAGGGGAGAGGGAGAGAAAGGGAGAGGGAGAGAAAGGGAAAGGGAGAGAAGGGGAGAGGGAGAGAAAGGGAAAGGGAGGGGAAGAAGAAGAGGGAGGAGAGTAAGGAGAGGGAGAAGGAGACGGAGAGGGAGAGTAATGATGATAGTGAAGAGGATTGGATAGGAGGAAAGATAATGAAAGGAGAGGGTTTAAAGAAAGAGGGAAGGGAATGGGGGAAGGAGAGGGAGAAGAAAAAAAAGAGATGAAAAAAATAGGAGCTAGAACAAAACCTAGAAGGAGAAAGCAAGGGAGAAGGAGGGGGGGTAGGGGGAGAGGGAGAGGGAGAGGGGAGAGTGAGAGGGGTGAAGGCTGTTATTTTTTCCACGGTCGCTCTTGCTAGATGGTCGTTGTATGAGTCTGATTTAAAAGGGGGGCGGGGGTTAAGTATATAGTCGTGAGAGAAGTTAATAGAGAAAATGCACTGAAGGAGGAGGAGGTGGAAGAGGGAGAAGATGAAAAGGAAGATGGGGAGGTAGAAGAGGAGGAAGAGGGGGAGGAAGAGGAAGAGGGGGAGAAGGGGGAAGAGGAAGAGGAAGGAAGAGGAAAAAGTGGAAAAGTGATAATGACTTAGAAGGCTAATTATGATGATAGTTATATTATTGATGATTATTACGAAGACAGTGCATTATGATTAATAACGATGATAAAGACAGCGATGAAAGTAGGATATTGATAATTTTGTTTGATGGCATTTATGATTATGGGAATGATAATGTGATGATAATGATGATGATAATAATAATGATAATGATGATAGTAGTAATAGTAATAACAGTAATGATAATGATAATGATAATGGTATTAATAGTAATAATAATAATAGTAATAGTAATGATGATGATAAGGATAAAGATAAGAACAATAATATAATTATGATTGTAATAATGGCAATAATAAGGATATGAAGGTGATAATGGTATTGATAATAATAATAATAATAATAATATTAATAATAGTAATATTAATAATAGTAATCATAATGATAATCATAATAATGTTGATAATAATAATGATAATAATTAATATAACAATGATACTACTACTAATGATAATAACAATAAGAATAATTACAACATTCGCAATAACTTAAATTAAAAAAATAACGATAAACAGAAAACGAGGAAAAAAATCAGATAAAATTTGCATAAGTTGTACAGAAGTATAAACGTGCAAAGGTAACACATACTGAACACTATGCAAGTACGAGTACCTAGGAGTAAGTGCGTTAACGCTGACGGCTTTAATAGGCGAAAGGGGGGGGGGGTAGGAAATAAGTGATAATTACTAAGAACATTAATAGCTTGAGTGTGTGTTGTGTTTTTTTTTTCTTAAGGGGCGTAACTGCTTGTTTTAAAACGAGGAGTATTTTTTTTTTCTTTTTCTTTTTCTTTCTTATTGTGGCGAATACGAAGGGTTGTCTCCAATGTGGGTGGTATTATTTCTCTAATCATATTTAGTTTTCGTTTAGTATTTAATTTGAGTTTTCCTTTGTTGCCCTTTTCGATTCTGTAATTGGCATTCGCTTTGTTGGGTAGATGAAATTTCTTTTGTGTGGGTCCTTATAAAACACATACACGCACGCACATGCACACGCACACGCACACGCACACGCACACGCACACGCACACGCACACACACACACACACACACACACACGCACACGCACACGCACACGCACACGCACACACACACACACACACACACTTATATTGTATACCTATTTCAAATTCACCGAAACACCTACTAAAGAGCTGTAATATTTGAAACTATAATTTGTACCATTCTCCCGTGTCCGATTTCAGTTTCCTTTGGAACATAAAAGCCATAGTCTTCAGGAAGCGCCTATGAATCTGAGGCGACACGCACAGTTTACGAGACAGTTTTCCCACAATAAGAGACAGTAAACGGTTTTATTGGCGTGATCGCTCGCGTGTTTGAACTGGCATGAGAGTGTTAAACTCTCTTTCTCTTTCTCATTGCTCGCTTGCTCTCTCTTTCTTTCTTTCTTTCTTTCTTTCTTTCTTTCTCTCTCTCTCTCTCTCTCTCTCTCTCTCTCTCTCTCTCTCTCTCTCTCTCTCTCTCTCTCTCTCTCTCGCTCTCTCACACACACACACACACACACACACACACACACACACACACACACACACACACACACACACACACACACACACACACATAGACACACACACATAGACATACACACACACACACACACACACACACACACACACACACACACACACACACACACACACACACACACACACACACACACACACACACACACATAGACACACACACACACATAGACATACGCACGCACGCACACTTGACCGCCTCCCGCCGCCCCGACCGTTTAAGTGAAACCGGTGGACAGGCAGACGCCCGACGAACGGTACCCAACTCTCACTCTCAGGCGCTGGGAAGATAGACTGTGGGGGGGTGGGGGTGGGGTGGGAGGAGGGGTAAGGGTGGGGAGGGGAGGGAGCGAGACTCAGCTGCTTTCTATCTTTTCGTTCTCTATCTTCCGTTTCATCTCCCGTGTTCTTATCTCTCGTTTTTTTTTTCGTTTTTTTTTTTTTTTTTGCTGTTGTTCGTTCGAAGGTTTTCCAGTTTTTTGAGTGTTTTGTTTGTGGTTTTGTATGCTTTGGGTGTATGTTCTTTCTTCTTCTTATTCTTTTCTTTTTCCTCTTTTTCCTTTTCGTCACCGTTCCCTATTTCCTTTTATTTTATGCTTTCTCTCCCTTTCGTATCAACTAAACAAACGGATAAACAACGAAAATACAAACAGAAAAAGCGACTGAAGGGAAGGCAATAAATTAGAAACTTATTCACATGACAGACACTCCTATCTGATCTCCTTTCCTCCTCCCTTCCCTATCTCCCCTCCACATTCCTCCCTTCCCCGTTCTCTCCCTTTCTCCTCTGATTCTCCCCATTCTCTCCTACCCCTTCCTTTTCATCCTTCTTCCCCCTTCTAATTCCCCATAACTTTTGCTTATTCCAGTCTCCTCATTCCCTTTTCCGGCATCTCTCTATCTCCTTCCTTTTTATCACTCCCCATCCCTTCTACGCCTTCCTCCTCGTATACCGTCTCTCTTCCCCTTCCTTTTTATCACTCCCCATCCCTTCTACGCCTCCCCTCCTCCCCATGTACCGTCTCACGTCCCCATCCTCTTCCCTCCTCCCTCTCACTCCTCTCCCCACCACATCCCCTCCCATTCCCCATCTCTCCCACTCCCTTCTCCCCCTCCCATTCCCCATCTCCCCTACTCCTTTCTCCCCCCCCTCCCATTCCCCATCTCTCTTACTCCTTTCTTCCCCCCCCATTCCCCATCTCTCCCACTCCTTTCCCCCCCCCCATTCCCCATCTCTCCTACTCCTTCTCCCCCTCCCATTCCCCATCTCTCCTCCTCCTTTCTTCCCCCCCCCTCATTCCCCATCTCTCCCACTCCTTTCTCCCCCCCCCCATTCCCCATCTCTCCTACTCCCTTCTTCCCCTCCCCATTGCTTCCCCCAAAATCTCCCCTCCTTTCACTTATTCCCTAAATGTACGTTAACCACCCGTAAAGCAGATTAGAAGAGGAAGTGGAAATTATCCTCGCAGGTTTAGGAAATTAAGGGGGGGGGGGGGAGTGGAGGGGGAGGGGGGAGGGGGTGGAGGGAGGGAGAGAGGGAGGGGGAGGGGGATGGTGGAGGGAGAGGAAGGGAAAGTGGAGGATAGAGTAGAAAGAAGGGAGAGGAAGGGGTAAAGGGAAGGGGAGAAGTATGAATAAGGGGTAAGAGAAAGGGAGAGAGGAAGAGAGGGTTAGGGGAATTACGTATAAGGGGGAAGGGGTAGGGGGGAAGAAAAGAGGGGAGAGGCATAAGTAATGGGAAAAAAGAAAGGGAGAGGAGGAGGGGGGTATGGGGGAGGATTTGAGAAGAGGGGGAATATAGAGACATGGCAAAGGAGAGGATGAAAGGAGGGGAAGAGAAGAAGAGAAAAAGGGAAGAGAGAGGGAAGAGGGCAGAGAAAGAGAAAGGTATTTGGGGGCGAAGGAATTGAGAGAGATTTATATAAAGAGAAAGAAGAGAGGGAAAGTGAAGGGAGAAGAAATGGTGAAGAAGAAAGAGATGTAAGGAAGAAGAATAAAGGGAAGTAATATAAGAAAAAATGGGAGGAAGAGGGATAAAGAAAAAGAATATGAGAAAAGGAGAATGAACAGACGTGGAGGATCGAGAAGCATGGGAAAGGAAAACGCAAGAAAAGAAGAGAAAGAAAGAGAATAAGAAGAAAGATTGAAAGACAAAAAAGACCCCTCCCCCCCAAAAAAAAAACGAAAAAGAATAAAAGAAAAGAAAAAGAAAGAAAGAAAAGAAAAAAACAAAACAAAAGAAAACGCGAAAATAAGAGAGGGAAGGATAAAAGCCAACAGGACAACAGGATCGGCAGGGCTGTACATAGTGAATGGGATGTACTCTTGTTTACATTTTCTCTCCTTTGACTTTCCTCTACGGTTTCCCAAGGTCGATTCTGATGGGTCTATTAAGCCCTTCGGTATCCACTTAAATGGGGGAAAGTGGGAAGGAGGGAGGAGTAGGAGGAGGGGAGAAGGACGGGGATGTGGGTGAAGGAGGGAGGAGGAGGAGGAGGGGGGAGGGGAGGGGGAAGGGGATATAGGAGGAACGGAAGGGAGGGGGACGGGGACGTGGGTGAAGGAGGGAGGGGGAGGAGGAGGGAGAGGGGAGGGGGTGGGACGGGGATGTGGGTGAAGGAGGGAGGAGGAGGAGGAGGGAGAGGGGAGGGGGAAGGGGATATAGGAGGAACGGAGGGGGGTGGGACGGGGATGTGGGTGAAGGAGGGAGAAGGAGGAGGAGGGGGACGGGGGGAAGGAGCTGTGGTAGGAAATGAGGGGGGGTAAGGGGCTGTGGGGAGGAAAAGAGGAGGAGGGGGAGGAAGAGAGGGGAGGGTGTAAGTAGAGAGAGAGGGAGGGGAGAAGAGGATGATGATAAAGAAGAAGGAGAGTAGGAAAATGAAGAAAATGAAAAAAAGAAAGAAAAGAAAGACATTAAAGATGCTGATGACAAGAAGCAGGAAATAAAAAAGACAAGAAGAAAAGGAGGAAGAGGAGATGGAAGCCAAGAAAAAGCAAGAAAAGAAAGTAAGAATATGTCGATTGGATATAAAAAGGACAATAAAATTGAAATAAATGATAAAAAAATAGGAGACAGTAGATTGCACAAGAGAAGCGGGAATGAAAAATAGTAAATAGATAAAAATAAGAGATAAGCAAAAAGAAGAAGAAGAAATAGGAAAAAATAGTTAACACGAAGAAATCCTACAAGATTTGGGACAAAGAGACTGAAAGCACGCGATAAGATCCCATAAAAAAACAAGAAAAAAAAGAAAAGAAAAAGAAGAGAAGTCAGAAAAGAACCAACAATAGGGCGATAAAGATATAAAAAAAGAGAGAAGGGAAAAAGGGACATCCTTAAAGGTGTCACTCTGGTCTTGTAACCGTTCTCCATTTTCCTTCTTTCTCTCTCTCTCTCTCCCTGTCTCCTTTTGTCTCCCGCGCTCGCCTGAACAAAACCTGGGTTGCCGTTCGCGGATGCGGCCGGATTCATGGGTCTTCTCGTTATAAGAACTGGCGCTCGTAAAAGTACCTCAAAAGGAGCGTTAGGTAATTTTTGTAATTTTTATACGTGGCAATTTCTTCGTTTCTTGTAAGATCTGTCTTTCATAAGGTTTAATAGGATGTTTAGTGAAAGTGACTGAGGGAATATGTATGTAATGTTTAAAAAAATAATGCATTACTGTTAAGGCAAGAAATATTATTTGAGATTAATCTACGGTGAGATTTGTGATGATAATTAAAACGAGACTATGAGAATGGAAAATTATAATTGATTGTATTGTATTCATCCGATACGTTAATTCAGCGCGTTATTATCATTCAAATAAACCCCATGCCTTAATTCCAAACGACCTTTCGCCACAAATAGAACAAATGACCACCTCCTTCCCCCCAAAAAATAAAAGAAAGTGAAAACAAAAGCGAATCGAAAGCGGTCGGTCCAGAGGCGCCTTCAAGGTCGTCCGAAAGCGTTGTTATCCTTCCGGGCGAAGAGGTCGTTAAGACGAAACGTACCTGGACTAATTATGTCATTTGTGTAAGTCTAGGTACTAATGAGAGTCGTCTGGAAGGATGGATCGGTTCCTGCGTGGGGATTAACGTATGGGATATGCCGCCATTATCGTATAAGTGATGTGAAGGAGGTTCGGCCGAGTGCGAAGGCGAGGGCGAGGGAGCGGAGAGCGCCGTTTCGGATAACGTGGATGGGGGCGATTGCGCTCACACGAACGCTGGCGACAAGTCTTACACGAACGGCTCTTACGCGAACGACTCTCACACGAACGACTCTTACGCGAACGACTCTCACACGAACGACTCTTACGCGAACGACTCTCACACGAACGACTCTTACGCGAACGACTCTCACACGAACGACTCTTACGCGAACGACTCTCACACGAACGACTCTTACGAGAACGAGTCTTACGAGAACGACTCTTACGAGAAAGATTCGTACGAGAACAACTCTTATGCGAACGCAGGGACGAAGACAGGGTTAGGTGCGTTCACGTAGAACAAACGTCGAAAGTGAAATGATTATTTAAACTGTTAAGCATCTGAGCGGAATGAAGTAGATTATCTATAGGTAGACTGTTGCCGGACGAGCAAACACACACACACACACACACACACACACACACACACACACACACACACACACACACACACACACACACACACACACACACACACACACACACACACACACACACACACACCTATACACCTATAAAACAAGAAAATAAACCGCCAACGGAAGACGTAAGCCCAAAACTCCGGGCGCAGTCCTAGCGGTGGGCGGCGGGTGGTGGGCGGCGGCGACAGAGAGGATCTGGGCGCAGAACAAAACGGTCTTTCTTCGTATCCGGCGAGAAGTAGGAGACCTGTCGTAGAGCTACAAAGGACCGTCTGTTGAGGCTCGGTCTGAGGATGTAGACCTACGTGTGATTTTAGCGCCCAGACCAGTGTGAAGTAGGAATTTTGTAATTTTCTTCATGTGCGTTTGTTGATTGTTATTGTAACTATCTCTCTTTATTCGTATTTATCTATTTTTCTTCGGTTTTGCGGAAGGTTGTTGTCTATTTTCTTTTCGATTATAGTTCAGTATATTTGCAATAATCATCAGGCTAAGCTATTATTATCATGCTTTGCCAACTTGAAATTGCTATTTTACTTGCAATTCTATTATGAAAACAAAAGTGTGTGTTTATAAATATATACTTTCGTGTAAGAAATTAGCCCCCATTTCATTTATTTTTGTATCATTACATTTAATTATCTTTGTCAGTTGTAATTATTCGTAATTATTCTCATTTATCTACTCTCCCCTTCTTCTCTTATTCTTTCTTGCAGCTCCTTCGCTTTTTGTCATTTCTCTCTTACCCTCTTTCTCATTATTTGCTCTTCTCCCACTTTCTCACATTCTTTCGCATATTCACCTCCATTTCTCTCCTTCTCTCTATATCTTTATTCCCCCCTTTCTCTCCTCCTCACTCTTCATCTCTTTCTCTTTTTTTTACCTCCTTTTTCTCACATTCTCTCACACTCATCCCTTCCCATCTCTCCTTCTTTCTCTTCCTCTCCTTTGTTTCTTCTCTCTTTTCCTATTTTTATCTATATCTCTCTCTTCCTCTCTTCCTCTCCTTCTATATCTTCTCTTCCTCTCTCTTCTCCCTCTATTTATTTGACCTTCTATATCTTCCTCTCTTTCTCTTTCTTTGGCCTTCTCCCACCCAACCCTCTCATCACTCACCTTGTCCCTGGCTTTCACTCGCCTTACGTCACCCCCCCCCCCCCCTACTGTGCCCCCCTGTCCCCTGTCCTGTTTTTGGACACTGATACAGTGACCTTCCTTTTATCCCCCCCCCTCCTTCTCTCTATATTCCCTCCTTCTCCACTCTTGTCTCTATTCCTTTCTCCCTGTTTCTATTTCCTTCTTCGCTCTCACTGTTTCTATCCCCTCCGTCTCCCTCTTGTTTCTATCCCCCATTTTGTCTATTCTCTTCTCCCTCCTGTTTCTATACGAGTATTTTCTTTATATCCTCTTGCCACCTTCCTCTCTATATTCCTTCATTTCTTCTCCCTCTCTCTACTCCCTCCTACACTTCCTTCGTTCTACTTCCCTCCTCCCTCCTCTCTACTCCCTCCTCCCTCCTCTATACTCCCTCCTCCCCTCCTTCACTCTATTCCCTCCCCCTCCTCCCCTTTCCCCCTCTCTCTATCCCTCCTTCGTCCCATTTCTCAACCCCTACCTATTCCTCTTTACCAATATCCCTTTTCCCCTATTTCTTGTGCTAAAAGAGAGAGAGAGAGAAAAAAAAACTTTCTCTAATTCATTCAGATCACGTATTTTATCTATTCTTCTGCATCTGGTTCATGGAATTCTATCCCGAGTCATGACACGTAAATCTCATGACACAATCCCTCAGTATATGCCTGTCTAGCCTTCAAAGTCGGTAGTTTTATACCTTATATCCGTTGATGTAATACTGTAGTCGCCGGGTTTATGTGGTTCTGTTTACGACAAGCATTTACGCTCTTAGGATACAAGCTTCATTTATGTTGTCTAAGGCTTTTAGTTCTAAGCGACGGATCATTAATGGGATTCCAGTAGCTTGTTTACAACTGTAATAAATGAGTGGCTTAAATTAAAGCGAATTTAATGAGATAAAAGTGGAATGCTTTGAACCGACGGGTCAGGGTTACCAACGGTTGTAGGTCACGATGGGGAATGCCGAGGTACCGTTGGCAGCACTGAAACAAATCCGGATATTATCATTATCTTTTATTAGTTGTTGTCTTTATTTTAGCAGTTACACTTCCCTTGTTATCCACTTCTTGTTCACTGCCATTTTTATTGGTTCGTTTTCATTTCTCGTTTCGTAATAGAACGTCCACATTAGCATTCGCAAATGGGCCATTTTCCTTGCACTTTTATTTCGTCTTTTGTTTGGGTTTAACCTTTTGCGTGTTTCTTCTTTCGTCTCTATTTGCATATTTTGTTTGCGACTTCGTATTTCATTTAACGGTTGAGCTTTTATGACAATAATTACTATGTTAAGCATTCGCTGTCGTGTTTGTTTATACACTGTTGCTGCATTCATTTATATTCATTGCGATTCATTCACTCGTAATGCTGATAAGATACGGCGTAACAAATGACTGTCGAAACGGGAGAAGGAGAAAGAAAAGGAGAAGGAGAGGGAGAGGGGAAGGCAAAGGGAGAGGAAAAAAGAAAAGGAAAGGGAAAAGGAAAGGGAGAGGGAGAGGGAGAGGGAGAGGGAGAGGGAGAGGGAAAAGGAAAGGGAGAGGGAGAGGGAGAAGGAGAAGGAGAAGGAGGAGAAGGGAAAGGAGGAGGAGAAGGGAAAGGAGGAGGAGAAGGGAAAGGAGGAGAAGAAGAAGAAGAAGAAGAAGAAGAAGAAGAAGAAGAAGAAGAAGAAGAAGAAGAAGAAGAAGAAGAAGAAGAAAAAGAAGAAGAAAAGAAGACAGAAAGAAAGAAAGAAAGAAAGAAAAAGAAAGAAGGAAAAGGAAAAAAAGGAAACGAAAAAGGAAAATGAGAGGGAGGAGAATGAAGAGAAGTAGTCGAAGAAGGAAGAGGAAGAGGAGCAGAAGGAGAAGGAGAAAGAAGCAGAGAAGGACGAGGAATAGAATGAGAAGAATGAGGAAAATTATGTGCAAGAGGAGAAGGAGAATAAGGAAGAGGGCAAGTAGAAGAAGACGGAGAAGTAAACGAAGAATGAGAATGAGGAGGAGAAGGGGGAGTAGGAGGAGGAGAAGGAGAAGGAGAAGAAAAAGGAAAAGAAGAAGGAAAAGAAGAAGGAGAAGGAGAAAGAGAAAGAGAAAGAGAAAGAGAAAGAGAAGGAGAAGAAGAAAAAGGAACAGAAGAAGGAGAAGGAGAAGAAGGAGAGGGAAAAAGAAGAAAGAAGGAGAAGGAGACGAAGGAGCAGGAGCAAAGGAGGGAGGGAGCAGCCTCGCCATGAGAACCGGCCGGCATCATTGTGGGAGCGTCACTTTCCCCGCGATCGCACACCGACCGCCGAGGCTGTGGGAGATCGAACGCCTTTAGGCTCGTTGTCGCTACTCTCACTCGGTGCGCGTGTCCGATACGGTTCTGGTCTCGGTTTCTTGATTTTATTTGCTTGTTTTGATGGTACTGTTTTATTTTATAGATATATTTAATTGTTGTTGTTATTTGTTTTAATGATTCTGGAGTGTCAGGTGTTTCGTGTATGTTGTTGCTTTTGGGGTACCCTTTAGGCTCGTTTTCACTATTCTCTCTAAATGCGCGCGGATTCAATATGTCTTTGGTATTGTCTTCTTGGTTTAATTAAATTGTATATCAGTTTTATTATTTTATGTCAGTTGAGTGCCAGGTGTGAAGTTAATGCCTTTAGGCTCGTTGTCGCTACTCTCACTCGCTGCATGGGTCCGTAACCTCGACGCCATGGCTTCATTTATTTTCTTTTCCTAACTTGATTAAGATCTAAGTGTTTATTGCGGCTGTTGTTATTGTTATAATGTTGATTTATTTTAGGTGTGTTGCATGATTTGATTTTCGTCGCGTCCGGTATTCATTTAATGTTGTTAAAATGGCTTTCGTTCTTGCTACTCTCACTCGATGCACGGGTTCGATTTTCCTAGTTTATTCTTCCTGTTAAATTTCTCTCTATATATATTTATTTTATTGGTTTATTTATTTATTTATTTATTTATTTATAGGGGGACGCTTCTTTATGATGTTAATGTTGATTTTGTTATCATTGGCGTATTGCATGTCATACTAGTATCACCATTTTCAGTTCGTATCATTATTATGCAAAGCATTATTATTACCGCCATCATTAATATTAATATTATCACCAGTGACATCGTCATCATAAATATCAAAATCATCATTATCGTACATCATAATCACAGTCATTATCGATCATCATTACTAATATTATCAGCATCATAAATTTTGTTGAATTACCTAGCGCAGTTATGCCATTATTGCACCAGTAAAGTATTTGTTGTTGGTGAATGCAAAGAAGATAAAATTCTAGCTTTATTAAAAATGATTTTTAAAGATTTAGGAATCAGTTGTTTTATTTTTTTGTTTTATTAATAGTGGCGATAAAAAAATGCGAATTTCTGTTAATCTGAATTTCTTTTTATTTATTTATTTATTTTTTTATTAGGAATGAGAAATGGGATTTTCGAGGTGACTGAAATATTTCGCATTGTTTACGTTTTCACTTCGTCTAACTTTCCTTTGTCTTTTTTTTTGGCTCCATCTCTCTTCCTCTTTTTCGCCTTCTCTAATTATCCCTTTCGGCTGCTTTTACTTCCTTTCTTTCACTTCCTCTCTTTTTTTAACCCCTTTCTCATTTCTTTGTTGTTTTTATCTATTTATTTCGTTCGGTACTAACTTTCATCTCTCTCTCTCTCTCTCTCTCTCTCTCTCTCTCTCTCTCTCTCTCTCTCTCTCTCTCTCTCTCTCTCTCTCTCTCTCTCTCTCTCTCTCTCTCACGCACACAGTCAAGTTTCTTCTATGGAACAAGATCCTATTTCATAAGAACTTGTCTTAGTATCACTTTCTGGAGGTTGGGATTTTTTCTGATCTGATTATGTTCATTTTGTCTTTTTTATTTTTTATTTTATTTTATTTTTTTTCATGTTATAAATAGAAACAATGATTGATAATCCTTTAATTTAATGGTCGCTTAAGATATTACAGATTGTGTAGGTAAGATTAATGTTTTTTGAAGTGATAAAAGACAGAAAAAAGAGCGAAAAAAGAGAAAAAATAGACGATGTTATTCAATATCTTCAGCTATTCACGGCACCCGATGTTGCGTGTCAAGTATTGCACAATCGTTGTCTCCAATCGATAGAGACATCCTGTTTCTCA